AAATAATGGTAAGGCAACGCATGGTTAGGAAAGTTATCCATAAATCTTTGCAATAACCTCAAAAAACATTCGCGGTATCCCACGTGGAATAATTCATCCATTTTAGCATACTACTCCAAACCTGGCGATGGAAAATGTCTGAAAATTTTCATATGTCCTCGTGTATCTGAATAAGGGCTCGACGGTCACAATTACTGGATCGGCGCCTCAGACGAAGGCCACGAAGGCGACTTCAGGTGGACGGACGGGACGGAGGTCAAGATGGGGACGCCGTTCTGGGGCGACAGCGAAGACCAGGTTCAGGAGCCCGACGGTGGTACCAACCAGAACTGCGTGTTCATGGCCAGAGGCGATCACTTCTTCTTTTTTGATTATGATTGTAGCCCTCCACAAGCCATTATCTGTGAGAAATTTATGTAGTTTTAGTAGAGGAATAAAAAAATAAATTCTTAATACAAGAACACCGATATTTGCGCAAGACCTCACTATCCCTCACAATAAGTGTACAGGACCTCACTATTGCACAAATATCAAATTATTTATATGCAATCACTCTATGTTCTGTCATACACTGTTACTGATGGCAAATCGCGCCTCCACAGGTGCGAGGCACGTATCTCTGTGTTGTACAATGCGTCTATAGTTGTCACAGGTCTTTTGTAATACGTGGAGTCAAATGCTCTTTGCCGTTTACTTAGCAAATTATGAATGCATCATTAAAGGCACGGTATGGATTAATTTGTCATGAATTCGAATATCGTGTAGGTCGATTGGTGTCCACTGGTGACGCGGAGACTCCATTCACACTCGCAGCCGGTAACAGAAAGGCCGCAGGGCACGCCAGCGACTGGTGCTCCCAAGGGATTGCTGACCTGGCATGACCGGCCATCTCGTGCTGCTCACGTGATGCATCTTGTACTGAACGCGTGAATCGCACCTAATCATAGACTCAAGCAGATTTCACACAGTGGAAACTTCCAGCCTCTCGCCACAATAACAACGGAACTAACTCGTCATTTGATCTTTTCCTTTATCAATAACATACTAGTAACAACCACAAGGAAAAGAGATCACAGAATCCGCGACATCTTCAATGCGAAGAGCGTATCACATGCGTGCGGACCGTGTTACGAACGCATGCGCTGACGTCGGTGCGAGCGAGGGGATTAAGGGGCGCTGTCAGACCTGGCTGCGGCTTCGGAGGGGAAGGGTGGCGCTCGTCTTCGCCTCTTCGGCCTCGCGTGAGTGAGCGTTTCGTTGGAGGAAAATCGCTGGGAAAGATGGGGCTGAGGAGCTCGGAGGGGAAAAGCGCGTGTGCCTCTCTATGTATACGCACATATAGATATATATAAAGATATGGACACACGCACATATATATGTGTGTGTGAATGTATATACAGTGTTTATATATATGTGAATATATATATTCATATATATGACAATATATATATATATATATATATATATATATATATATATTATATATATATATATATATATATATATAATACATATATATGCATATATATATATATTCATATATATGACAATACATATATATGCATATATATATTCATATATATGACAATACATACATATGCATATATACATTCATACATACATACATACATAACCTGAGTTGGCGATTCCGGATTCTACAACATGCCGGTCTCATGGTATAGCCGTGAGTTGGACAATCGGTTTTGACAACTATAACTCATGATCCTGCAAGATGCTAAATACCATCCATATTTCACTTCCATAAAACAAAACAGGCCTTGAAGACACATAGCTTAGTCCTTCTGAATTGGTACTGGCACCTCCTAATACACTTGTTGACTGAGTCCATGGCTCCTGCTGCCATATCAGTCCGTCTAATGACTTCCCAGTCTGACAGCTCAGATGCATTGAACTGCACTACCAAGGTATGTAAAACTTTTTATGACTGCAAGCACGTATTGACGGATCAGGTTCCCCTAACAGGCCCCCCCAAATCCTGGATCTTGGTCTTGGTCCAGTCCTCTAGACAAGGGCTTTTGTCGTGACATTGATATTGCCCAGTATTGCTCCACAATGACTTTGGATAGTAGGTCTGCCCAATTTTCAGTCTATGTAAGTGCTGAAAATTGCTAGTGTGACACCTTTCTTCACTCCTGAATTGACCGGGAAGAAGCTCGACAGGCCCCCACCACACTTTACCAGTATGTAGGCCTGCTATTAATCCATTACTCCGTATAGCAATTTCCGTCTCTGTATCTCCCATAACAATTTACGATGCTCAAAGCCAAATGCCTTCTTGAGGTCGACGTAGGCTTTAAGCAGCCCATGACCAAATTCACGGCGGTGTTCCACAGTGACTTGAAGCACCAGGATATGGTATGTTGTGGACTTGCCAGGAGTGAATCCAGATGGCTCCGATCTCTGGTGCCTTAGTAGGTGGTTATTGATCCGTTTCAGAAAAAAATATGGTCAAAAAACCCTGCCTGATATACTGAGCAGTATAATGCCACGGTAGTAGTTACAGTCCCATCTATCCTCTTTCATTTCCCTTCCAAAGAGGGATGACCACTCTCCTCGGCAAGTCTGTGGGAATGGAATCGGTTAGCAAAATGGCAACCAGGACTATACAAACCCCGTGCAATAGGTTCATCCACAGCTTTCCCACCTTTCAACTTAGAGATCGCCTTCCTAACCTCAGTCAGGGTAGGAGGTTCCTTACTCATGGGTCCAGAATAACTGCCAGAGTACAATCGCTCAGCCCAATTTGCACGAGCTACAATATGATCGGAGATGATCCCCATTTTATGTATCCGCTCTTCTTTCCTCTTCTCCCCTCTCCTTTTTTCTTCTCATCTCATTCTTACTCTTCCTTTCTCTTCTTTATCTCTCCTCTTCAGTTTTTTTCTATTTTCATCCCTCCTCTTTGTGCCTCACTCCATCCACCTCCGTCCATCCACTGAGAGGGCTACAGTCATCAGCGAAGAGTGTTCGGAGTTTATTTTTCTCAGGGTGTGGTAGGCAGGACGAAGGCCATTTACTAAGACCTTCAACCTCCTCACCAAGATTCCTGTTGTACTGCTCCTTGTCCCTTCTCAGTCGTGTCTGAGTCCTGCGCACCGAAGAATGGCATAAACTCTGACTGCCACTCAAGTCGAGCCATCCTTGGACTCCAGTGCCTCCAGCGAGATGAAATTCTGCCTTGAACTCAGGCCAAATGGAAGCTTAATTGGAATCCCAGGAAGCTACGGGGGTTGTCAGGTTTTCGAGTGCTGTGAACTGATCAGAGATAGCTGTGGCGCATTTCTCCTCCCCCAGTCTGTTCAAGTGAAACACTCTGGAATGAACACTGAAGAAACGGGGGATTTTGAAACAGATCCGAAGTGTAACCACAACCAGTCTATGGTCAGTACCACAGTAAAATAGAACTCCGGTAAACCCTGCAGTTCTGGGGCCGGATTCACTAACGTACTTACGATAGTAAAATCACTGGTAACTAAAGTTATCATAGGAAACATACAAGGGTGGTTTTCACAAACATGCCATCGGAGGTACCATGGTAAAATAGCAAGGATAAAATCTACATAAACTCTCGCAAAATCATAGGTGGAAATAGGCCTACATTAGACTATAGAATGCTTGAAATGGATTGCCAGTGAACTCAAAGAATTCGTCTCTGACATAATTATTACGAATTCTACAAAAAAATCTACATATAAACTTACAGTACCAACGTATAACGAGTATAGCAATTTTTGTCTGTCGGTATTTTGACAACAAACTCCAAAGCACATGGGCAAGAATGAGCTTGAAATATTTCCTTTAACGATAGATGGCGGTGAATAAAAAATACGTTTGGTCAGGTTTTTTGTTTAACAGTGATGAGAACACACTGTATTGACCATCTCTTTGGCTTGCGGTAAACAATAATATAATAATATAACACTGTATTGGTTCCTCGTCATACGATAAGAGCACATTACATACATATTTATAATCAAATGAATATTTCATGTTTTATACATATGCTTACATGGTGTTTTAACTATGACGATGATTTAAAAATCTCGCTGTGTCTAGTTCTGTATAGATAATACGTGACTGGCCGAAGGAATCTAAACTATTATGTATGGCGCTCGCTGTCTGGTGGAATTGCTTTACTAGAGCCCTCTGATGGCTAGCATTAGAATGACTAGATTTACGATCGTAACCTCGTCGATTCAAGTTACCAGCTCTTCGCGAATCCCACTTTACCATGACTAGTAAACGCAATGGGAAATGGACGCCGGTAAATGCGCTGTGATCGTATACTAGTGAATCCGGCTCCTGGAGGACGATCCAGCCAGTGCTAACAAGGGTGTGGTTGATCTCCTTGGCCACAGTACCCGTATTCCTGATACCAGGAGCCATATATATATATATATATATATATATATATATATATATATATATATATATATATATATATATATATATATATAGGTAGATAGATAGATAGACGTGTGTGTGTGTGTGTGTGTGTGTGTGTGTGTGTGTGTGTGTGTGTGTGTGTGTGTGTGTGTGTGTGTGTGTGTGTGTGTGTGTGTGTGTGTGTGTGTACGTTTCCACCTTTATACGAGAATACGTATATTACCATTATTAAAAAATGATAAAAAATACATGCTTGTCATAGGCATCAGCACGTAAGGATTTATAATCCCGCATCTTGTCCCTTAAAGACAATGACAAGGTTCAGGAAAATGTCCTGATATGGGGGCTAAAAGACAACAATAATCGGTAGTAAAACGTTCACAAAACTATTTTTGTCAATAACACGTATCAATAATGTTCCTAAAACAGGATATCATTTACAGCCTTACCAAAGGAATAAAGCAAAAGTCAAGGAATGGCAAATAATAGTAATAAAAAAGAAAACAACAACAAACAAACGGCGATCAACAACGAAGGTTCCGATCGCCTTCGCTTTAGGATCGACTCCTTTGTTTATAGACGAATTAGTCCATCAATATCGGTTGGCAATTGCACTCAAGCTGTTTCAATGGGCAGCGACATCACTCACAGAATAATTATCGCTCGACATACTTCGGAAAATGGAATGCGTCACTTTAGGGGCTAATGGATTACCTTTCACGACAGACAGAAATATAGCGATATAAGATTAAAAAAAAAAAAAAAAAAAAAAAAAAAAAAGGCTGGGACATAAATATAAAGATATAAAAAAGCGTCAGAGACAGAGATATAGAAGTACAGAAAAAATGAGAGATATATATATATATATATATATATATATATATATATATATATATATATATATATATATATATATATAATATGTCACAACCACATACTTCCTGAATTCCACCACATGATTCACGACACAAGCGCATATCATGAAAAGAAGGGAAAGAAAAGAAATGGGACAATTATGTACCAAAAGCCTGTAGCAAGAGCGTGCTTAGAGGATCGTGGGAACCGTAGCGGACTTTGTATCATGCCATATCTTTTAGCACTCTTATCACGCTAGTTTCTCACACACTCGCACTCCCAGCGTTAAACACCTGTTCCATTAAGCTTAAGAGAGAAGGGGCGTGCGGTTTCTCATATCTGATTGTACGGCAAGACTGTACAAATGAAATGTATGATTTGTACTTTATATTTGTTTTTTTTGATTCCTTCCCTTTCTTTCATCATTCTCTGTTTCCTTTCCATATCTCGGTCTCTTGTCTCCCCTCTCTCTTTCGCCGTTCCTCTCCTCTATCTCTCTCTCTCTCGCTTTTGCTCTTTCTCTTTCTATTCTCTCTCTTTCGCTCTTTCTCTCCTCTCTCTCTCTTTTGCTCTTTCCCCCTTCTCTCTCGTTCGCTCTTTCTCTCCTTTCTTTCTCTTTCCCTCTCATTTCTATCAATTTTTCTCTCCTCTCTCTTTTATGTATAGAGATATACAAATAAATACAAACATAATCAAATAACAACAGAATGTAGCATAATGCTGCGTCCGGAACTCCTCGTCCTGCTCGACCAGACAAGTTGGACAAGATATTTTGACCGTTCGGAACCTCTACTTTCTCGTAATGGGCAAATTGTCCATCTCGTCCATCTTGCCCTCCTGCGAACCTGGGCGAGATGACGTCACAATAGATTTTGTATGTAAACATTGACAGTTGCAGGCAACCACAAGATACTGATGAGTAATTTCATGGCCTTTTATTGATGTTATCAAAGGATATTTTTATTTGTCAGTTGCAGGTAAGTTAAATATGCACGAAAGGCGTTACAAAACCTATGCAGACTGTAAAATAAGACACCAATATGATAAAAGAGTGAATCTTTAGTTTCGAGCTGCTTGCATTCTGGGCAGCGAGGGTCTTGGAGGTTCCGAACGCGGCCTCCTTGTCCTGCTGGTCCTGACAAGTCGTCTGGGAGTTCCGAACGCAGCATAACCATAAGACCCATTGTTTTACTGGCTTTTACTCATTTGCAGATATGATGGGCGTCCGACAGCGCGTGGACACTGTGGGCGCGCTCCTCCTCGCGATGGGCGCCGCTGCGTGGGCGGGCTCCGTCCTGTACAAGAAGGCCGGGAGCGGCGGCTGTGGCGACGCCTTCACCTCCTGCTCTGCGCGCTCGTTGCTCTCCGCTGCCATGATGTGCACTGCTAGTCAGTAATATACACACATATATACAAACATAAATACAAACTCATATACATACAGCCATAAACACACACACAATTTCTAATATCCTTACCCCTGTCACCCTGTTCCCGCATTGACGACAGTATTCCCAAGACCTATTCTGCTTCCCACAGTCGGACATTCTCCCTGCCTCCCCTCAAAACCTGTTTAACTTCGACAGGTAGTCAGTGTCGCGGCTTCAGCTATGAGAGTCCCCGCTGCGAGATGCACAGCCAGCTCACTCCCCCGGACAACACATCCAGCATTCCGTGTTATTTCCCAGGTAGGTGGAGGCATGGAGGCGGATAAAAGTGTTTTGCTTGCGGTCTCTTGCCATTCATCGTGGTGCTAATGAAGAGACGTTACGACAGAGGAAGGCGGATGGACGACCTATACCAAATGAGAACAGCGCTGTGAGGCTTTCGGGGCGCTGGGAGAGTGCCTTCTTACTGCATCCCATTCCTTACTACATCCTATTCCTCTGAAGACGGTGGTGACAGGACTCGAGCCTTTTCGCGGAGGATCCCAAACTGAGCGAGCCAAGCCCAAGGGTATCCTGGAACCACCGCCAGAAAGGAAAGCTCCTCCATTTTCACTGAATAGAAGTCAAAGTTAGTCCCACATCTTTGCGGACGTAAGGGACATGTCTGTTGGGGAACATGCGCACTAAAACGGCGGGATAATGCAGTAGGGCGACCATTTCCTTTCCGCCCCGACTTTGGCCCCATCATGCTAATGTCAGCATACCAGTCCACAGTAGAGTCAGCTAAAAGTCGTTAAAGCCAGCGCACTGCCACTGAGCTAAGCCACTTCTTCGCCCAATAGCTGGAGATAAAACTGCAGCGAAGATGGCGTAGTAGGAGGCTGCCAGGAACTTCCTTTGCTTAGCTTGACTGAGAATAAAACAGACGCACACAAGATCAGTCAGTTTTCGGATGAACTGATATGGAAGCCAGGCGAAAATGAAAATGATGAGGATGGTGGAGCTGGTGATAATGATAACTATGGCAAAAGTGATAATCATAATACTGATAATGATTTTAGATATTTATTACAATTATTGTTGTTAAAATAACAATTGACATCACTACTATAAAATAATAATGATGATAGTAATAATTGTAATGATAATGATAAGGATAATTCTGATAAGAATACAAATAATATAAATAATATTAATAAGAGTGACAACAGTAATGGCAACAATAACAGTGGTAATTGGTAATAGTAGTAATAATAACAATGGGAGTAACAATAAGGATCAAAACAGTAATGATGATAATAATATATACAGTAAAAAATGAACAATAATGAACAATAATGATGATGGTAAAAACAAAACAGTAAAAAGGACTATTCATCAGAGGAATAATGAAGTAATAACATTAGTAAGGATAGTAATATTGATAATAGTGATGCAATAATAATCATCATATATATCATAATTATAATTTTCAGTATTAGTATAATTATTCAAATTATCTGTATCATTATCATCGTTATAATAAACATTATCATTATCATAATAATAGCAATAATAATGATTATTATTGTTATGATGATTCAGATTATCATTATCATTATTACTGTATTAATTAATATTATCATTATTATGATGATGATTATCAATATTATCATCCTCATTATTATAATTAATATTATCATTATTATGACAATAATTGTCATCACTATATTACTATTCTACTATTATTATCAATAAAGGTATCATTGGAACTAAATTTCCCTGCATTTCGAGTTGTCTGAAATAAAAATAGGACAGAAAAAAATACATTTAATAATTCGAAATGAAATGAAACAAAATGCCAGTACAAAGAATAAGTGGCCGTGTACAATACCGTGAGGTGGGTGATTGCTCTCTCTGTGAAAATACATCAGAAACAATACCAAAAAATAACAAAGAAAACTAAAAACAATGAAATTACCCTTTTGAGAGCATTCACGAGCCACCAAGGTAATTGTTCAGAATACCTTCGCATGACCAATCACGCCGATAGTGGTATTCTGGATAATCAGCGTTTTGTTCAGTTAATATCCCGGAATTGCAGGGAAGTTTGCCGCCACCAAATAATCTATAAGAGGTTTAACAGCTCCTTATATTCGAGGCAGTCCAAATATCCGTAAACAAAGCGTATGTGCTGCCTCTGTTCTGGGCATTTAGAGATTGTTATTGTCAGTGGGTGCGAAGATGTAACAATTGCTTCTCGAAACTTCATTCATGGGTTAAACCTGGGCAGGAAGGAAGCGTATTTTTACCATCCAACGATAATCTCAGCAATAATAATAAGATCAGCATCAATTACGGAATGTGTGGTAGGATATTTTACAATACTTCGTCAAATATCTGGAAAGGAAAAGTGGCAACTCATCGCCAGGTTCTGGGGTCCTCCGATTCGCTTCGTCTGTTTTTGATTTTTATAAATATTGAGATAAATAATGTAGTGTTGAAGGTAGTAAATTTCGCTACAAATGTTACAAGATATTGGACATATGAAGTGATTAGAATCTGGAAAGGCTAGATCAGTAGCAACTCGAGGAAGTGTCATGGCGTCTGATTCTATTTTTAGAATAAAGCACATGGGGTTTATTTTGATGACGTCACAAAAGTTTCGGACGCTTTGTGAATATGGTCGATCATTTTGGTCTCTGGAAAAAAAAAATGGTCTTAATGGTTATATTCCCATTGAACAATCATCAAAACAGACGCCATGACACCTACTCCAGTTGCTACTGATCTAGCCTTTCCCGACCAAGAACTAAAAAAGCGACATACCGAATCGGCAACTCGAGGGTTCGGATCGAGTTGCCAGTTTCGTCTTTCCTTTGATTGGACTTTAAAATATATTCCTCTTTCCTACAGTGAGCGAGATACCCAACAGCCACGGTGGCGGTTTCCATGGCAACGTTGGGGTAAATATATCTTTTATGTTTCTCTGTTTGGTAAAATGGTGCGACATAATTTAATTTTGGTTAGTTTTTGGTGTTATCATTTTTTAAATTGATTATCATGGCGGTGATGATAATGTAGTAATAATGATAGCAGTAATGGCAAATAATATTAACGATTATAATGATAATGAGGATAATAGTAAAATAATAATAATGATAATGATAGTGACAATAATAATGGTAATGATGATGATAATAATAATAATAATAATAATAACAATTTATAATCAAAATTTGAACATCTTATGGTTGCCATTAAATGTGAAATGATACACCACTTTCCCATAACCATAAAAACTGCACAAAGATAAGCCATCGGCCATAGCCCCTGAAGCCGAAAAAGCCTAACCAAGCGCGTCTCTCGGT